TGAAACTATAATACTTCAAGGTTGGGTCCAGATTAGGTAGGTCTTGCTGACAATTGGTACAGTTACATACATACAATCCTTCAATTACCATACTGACTACCTTACTTTGTAAGGTACTCCCCGCCGTATTTAGAAGTAATCTGCATAAATGCACCGCAGGATGATAATAATCGAAAGACAGACTGCCAACGGGAAAAGTCCGAGTCCGGCTCATCTTCGCGAGCGCGAGCTTAAGACAATGGTGACATCAGCAAGAAATCCGCTTGAACTTAAAAAGATAGTTCTAGTCTACCCCGTTTTGGTTAGTACTAGCCCTGGGTGTTCGATGGTAGTTGTCTCACTTGCGAAATGAGCTCATAACATTCACTTCATCTTTTCATACCTGTCAAGACTTTCAGAGTTGCGGATCGCTGAATGTCTGGAAGTCTCAGTAGTACTAACGTCCTCTCTTCCAGACTTCCTTTGAGGTAAAGGAAATTTCAACCTCAACGTAACACAGCCGTCGTGTGGCTGCATTGAAGGATTCGGCTATGCTGACCCCAAAAAGGAGACAGTACTCCGTATTATGGACAACGAAATCCGAGAAAAGGATTGTAAAAACGACCAGATGTGTGGCCAGGTACTGTTCTGAACAGAGAGGAGGAAATGCAGATCTCCACACTGATGAGACCTGCATCTCTTGGTGCGATTGCAGTCACCTGATGGGAAGGGTTTGCTGCGTTCCATTGATTCGCGCCTTCGCTCTTGATCTTCTCCATCGTTACCGAGCCGGACTATGGAGTAGTACCCCGTAGATACGCCATAAGAAGATCCCCTCCGGGGAGGCGACGTCGAGACATTGACTTGACCGAATCGTGCTGTGTAACGAACGCTTTGCTTCCATCTCAGAATGTGTCAACAACAATAGCTATTATTTGACCAATGTCTTATATTTTGCACTGACTGAATCCATCGATCTGGTTCCATGTCTCATCTACCGCGCATCTTACAGTCAATCCTCATAGCGAAGTCCCGATGCACAATTGACGATTCGATTAGCTCTTTTCTGCCAGTTCCACAGTAAAGATCCCGCGCATAACGCCCAGGAAGCTATTCCCTGTCACAAAGTTCATCCGCAACTGCAGCTAAAAGGCTAGAAAGGCATGGGTAAGGCTTCGGTTCCGCGCAGACCGCTTCTTATTCCTACTGTTATCTCAGTAATACTGCACATACAAACCTTGGAAGCCAGTCTCTGGTGGTACGAACCGTACGAACCTGGACATATGATCGAAGCCCATTAAGCGCTGCTGTGGGTAGCTTCATCGCAATGAGGCGACATTCCCCCACATCCGGACGCAGCGGACGCTTTATCATCTAGACCACTCATCAGATCCACCAATTAAAATATTGCTCTGGTCTAATTTCCTGTCGTTCCGTGACTAGGATCACCCCGTAAGCCTTCAGGAGTCAGAGCACAAGAAATCGGTGCCTGACATACATGGCGTCATTTGAAGGCCTAATTGCCTGACTGCCTGAGGGTCGAGGTTGAGGTTGAGGTTTGAGGCCTAAGGCGCAAGTAGGGCACGAATGTAGGGCATGGACTTCTCACACTGAGCAAGATCAGGCCTGTCTTGCTGCTGCACATATGCAACCTTGTCCTTGGCCGGATTCATCGCGGCACTTTTCGCAGAAAATTAAGAGGCACTTTGTAACTTATCAGTGACAACAAAATCTGACGGATTCTGTCTCCGTCAGAGGTTATGCTTTCACTTCGTCATGCTTGGTAAGTGGTCAAGTCGATATTGCCTTTTTCCTGGGCATGTACGTCCCTTGCTAACGCAGGCACCGCTTATACTCATGATACTCCAACCGAGTACGGATCTTACCCGGCTAACACTTGACAATGTCAGCGTCGCAACCGGACCTCCTCGTCGAGCGAGCGATCACGAACACAATATAAATCGGTGTCTTTGGTTAGCACAGCTCACGCAAGTTACTTCGTACCACGAAAGATTGTGCAGCGCTCTGATAGGGCAAGTTTCGTCAAATCCAGACCGGTGCCCGGATCTTCGACTGTGGTGTGATAGTAATATATGAACAGTCCATGGAAGCCTCGACCCTCGCAGTCCTTCGCACTGATGTTGCAGTACTCGGCATGAGCCACAAGCGAGACCTATCTGGTCTTTCATAGCTGAGCCGTTGACGCCTCGGCGCGGAGATAGAGTTCGGATGAGGACGCAAGGAACGATGCGCAGATGACTCGCCGTTGAGTCATTCATCTTACTTTCAGGCTGGGACTGGACATATTTTACAGCAAATGCACGAATGCTAACGTTGAAGGGAAGGAGAAAAAAATTCGGCAGGCTACTATATAGTAGGTATGGAGTACATGCTGCTGAATCAAAAATAAGATCCCGACTTTGAAACTTTTTGATTTCAGACTCCCATCATAACCTCTGTCGACCTCACTTTGAACGCTAGAGGGTAGCAGTGCGACCATTCTAGCTCATGAATCAGTACGGAGTAGATCATCTCCAACGAGTAAATTGTCCGAAATTAAGTCGCAGCCGGCAGCATGCTGCCCGTGCGCGGATCGTCTAGTCCGGCCCCGTCACACGCCCGTGGCGTCTCGCGGAGCTATGTCACACGAAGGGCGGCCCTTTTGTCCTTTCGCAAATGATCTTCGCGCAGCACCACTGACACAGACCTTCGAAAGCTCTCGTGCGCGATTCGCCACAGCCGTTCCTACTGTGGGACGGACTCTCGGATTTCATGTTCATCGAGATTACTTAGCGCTTGATAATCGTGACTATGTCGACTCGTCAGCTCTGACGGCACGAAGCATAACATAGAGGGCAGGGGTAGCATACCAATATCCTCATCCGCTAATTCATGCGAGAGACCGACTCGCTGTGGCTGGTGTTTGACGGAGCGGCCATAGACAATGGCAACCTTGAACTGTTCCCTGATCGACCGGTGGATGGCGTTACACTATACATAGGAATCAGTAATGGCTCCCAGTGTCTCGAAAAGGTCAGGTGGAATCATACGAAGTCCTCGACTGTGCACGCGTTTGATCTCAAGACAACAGGAGCTGTGTAATCAGGAGCCCTTCCCTTGGGCTTCGTGTAAACCCGTCTGAGATTGAGTTTCTCCCACATTTGTTCCAGAAGCTCATCGATATTCCAGCCATGCTCGGAACTGATTGGTACAGCGTTGGGAATTCGGTAAAGAAGATCCAGCTCCTCGATTGAAATGGAGTCGATCTTGTTCAGGGCGTAGATGACAGGGATATAACTTCGGCTCTTGGCCTCGAGGACGTCAATTAGATCGTCAATGGTGGCATCACATCTGATGGAAATATCCGCAGAAGAAATCTTATATTCATTCATGACAGCTTTAATTTCCTGTTCGATAATGGTCAACTTTGAACCTGAAAAGAGCCACATATCAGGAGCACATACATCCTGGTCAATATGTGTTAGGGGAACGGTGCTAGTGATGGCAAGACCACCCTTGTCCTTCTTCTTGAAAACAATGTTGGGTGGCTGTTTGTTGATTCTGATACCGAACCCTTCCAATTCGTTCTCGATGATCTTTTTGTCGAGCAGCGGCTTGTTGACGTCAAGGACGATGAAAATGAGATGGCAAGTCTTGGCCACTGCGATGACCTGTCGACCACGACCTTTACCATCCTTGGCACCCTGGATAATACCGGGGAGATCGAGAATCTGAATCTTCGCACCGTTGTAGAGCACCTGGCCGGGAACGGTCGTCAAGGTTGTGAACTCGTATGCCGCGGCTGCGAACCCGAAGGTCAGTTGCTGTTCACCCAAACGCGATCAATTCGAAACATACCCTCGGAATGTTGGCCAGTCAATTTGCTCATTAATGTACTCTTGCCGACGGAGGGGAAGCCGATGAAACCACTACTCCAAGTAAGCCTATTGTCGTCCACAAAGATCGTTCAGTCGATACATACACACTAGCAACACCGGTACGAGCGACATCGAAACCGACTGAACCTCTTCGTTAGCCTCCCATAAAAGACAATCGCGACCTCTCCACTTACCACCACCTCCACCGCCACCGCCTGATGGAGTCAAAAGCTCTCGTTTTAGCTTTGCAAGCTTCGCTTTGAGTTGACCTTCACAACCTGTCAGCTATCCACTTCAAAAGACACATGAAAAAGCCATCTATGTCCTGCGCATACCCAAATGAAATGCTGTCGCCTTGTTCTTTTGAGTCCGAGCCATCTGAGCATTCGGTCAGTTTCGAAGCACTTGCGACCATCCAACTCGGCGATTGCTGTACGAACCTCGTCCTCAATTTGCTTGATCTGCAGTCATAAAGAAATTAGCATGACCAACTTCATCAAGATAAGACATATGTGATAGCTATACCTTCTCCACGGTCGTCGACATTTTGACGGTTTGGTACGAGTACTACCCTCGTACTAGGCGCAATCTATATAAACGAAGAAGACTGATAAAAAAAAACAAAGATGAAGAATCTAGTAAGGCTTCTTCTATGTCTCGCTTGCTGAAAAGCAGTCTATGCCCCGAGCCAAATCGTATGCACGTCAATCGTGAAGGTGTTACTGCGGAGAGATCAATCTTTGAAATTGTGGCCGCCACTTCATTTGCTGCTCAATCAAGGCGGTCTCACATGGCGGGGTTGCGGCCTCAGGCCAACATCAGGCATCACAGTGGCGACTTCTCTTTCCGCGCATGGTAACACTTGTGTATCAGACGAAAAACACCATGAGTGGTTGGAAATGGTCCTATGTTCCATTACTATGAGATGATATGGATTGGCATTTCGTTGCTGCAGTCGTCAAAAATCTATAATTACCCATTGTTAGTGACCTTAACATTATCCTAACCTCTTCATGCTGGATCTCTCTCTGCTCCGAAGTCGCTACGATTATTATTGATCCGACTTTTATACTTGTCGCTGGCGACGAATCACAACCCAGCTTCTACGTCTTGTTTCCATATTGCAAGAAACCTTTCATAACAATGCCATATCTCGATTCCACAACATCATTACCACCTTTGCAAAGCAAATACCCTGCTAACGCATTCGAGAATCTCGTCCTAGACCTCAGCGAAGCGTTGGGTCCGAGCTCGGGCCTGGATTCGGACGATGTCAATCCCCTCGACGTCCAGCGCCTGATGGAGCAATATGTCTCCAACCCGGAGGAATGGCGCTCCTTTGCCCTGGGCGATAACAGCAGGGGGTATACAAGGAACCTTATTGATGAGGGAAACGGTAAAAGTAATTTGGTAGGTCAGACATCGATCTGTTCACTGCCATAAACTTCAGCGCCGCTGTGATGATATGCCGTACCTGCATGTGGCCGAGACCAAGTCCATATGTACCTCGCCATACTGAGTCACGGGTCGCATGCTAATAAGACTGTCCTCCGACAGTTGATATTGGTCTGGAGCCCCGGCAAAGGGAGCGCAATACATGATCATGCCAATGCACATTGTGTCATGAAGGTACCATTCGCTACTCCCATATACCCTCGTCGGGGCAAAACTGCTGAACTGACGACGCCCTAGATCCTCAAAGGCTCTCTCCAAGAGACTCTATATACATGGCCTGACCAAGATAAACTCCAAAACGGGCAGTCCTCCTCGCCGCAAATCATCAAGGAAACCACCTACACCGAAAACCAGGTAACCTACATGTCTGACAAGGTCTGTGATCCCGGGCCTACTCCGGTAACTCATATCATAACTCGAAACTGACAATTTGCCAAGCTGGGCCTCCATAAGATATCAAATCCAGACCCTCATAACCCCGCCGTCTCGTTACACCGTACGTATCTCGTATTGACCTCATGCCTGTGTCTTCTTCGCTGTGCGTTACGGCTAACCATACTAACTCGACAGTTTATACCCCGCCAAATGCAGCAACGTATGGGTTCTGCGTGTTCGACGAGAAGACTGGGAAAGCAAGCCGCGTAAAGCAATCCCATTTCTATTCTATCAGAGGGGAACGGTGCTAGTCTAGGTGTACGTTTCAGCTGCATCGCTCTCTGTCTGCTGTGTTACTGAAGTAGAGCTAGTTGCTCAGCACGCACGAAATACCTTTGCATTTGTCTTTCTGCATGAGATGTGACTCAAGTGTGCTTCCCAGGATATTCATATTAGCCTTACGTCTAGTTTTACTGGCTAATGAATTATGATGTGATTAGCATAAAGCAAAGTCGACTTCTCGCTTTTTCCCTTCTCGTATTCCTGCTTAGAATTAAGTACAGGATCCACAAGAGTTCATAATAGACAATCTCAGAGGCAATTGAATCAACAACTGGTTGAATATCTGCCAAAAGACATTCGCTCCTCATGCGTGGCTCAATTAAATCCCGGGAAAGTAAATGCACATGCTTGAGACATACTGTACAGTCATACAATGATATGCGAGATGCGGGACGTGGATGACCCTGAAACAAAAAGACGCCAGTGGCAGGTTCAAAGAGACAAGTGCACTAATATCATACCACAAAAAGGCAGAGAAAGAGGAATTCGGGACAAATATCAGACACGCCTAAGTAATAAATCGGCGTTCTCCAAAACTTCGGACTGGCGCCGGCAAAGCTCTTCGAGGCGTGCCAACGGGTTCTGTAAACTTCCAGTATAAGTATGTCGCTCGAAGGAGGTGCAAAAAAGCATCAGCCGTGAGACCCACCCAGTCCTCCTGTTTTGGTACGCCCTCCGCGATCGGCAACTGTTCATCGGTAGTTTCCTCTCCCGAGGCTTGCCCAAAGGATCGCCTGATGGGCGCTGGCGTCACGGGAAGGCTGGGGCGTTCTACCTCCGTGGGGAAATCTGTGACTCGCATGCCCATGGGTCCATGATCGGTTGTTCGCCAGCTGGAGGGCTCGGTTCCCGGGCTGGGACCCCCGGAGATCACTTGCACTTTGGCTTTTCTGCCATGTTGAATGGATTGGATGTACTTGTGTATCTCTGGCACCTCGTCCCATGCATTTGAACGGGAATAAGTCTCCCACGTAGCGGTAGATGGCTCTTCAGATGTCCATGAGGCCCTTGACCCTATGGAGGATTTGTATTCTTCTCTGGTGGATGCCGATGCTGACTCCGTAGAGACTGTACTCGGCTGGTCCTCCAGAAAAACGCGCGTGGGTTTGGGTGCACGACTTTCCCAAGGGAATATTTGCTTAACTTTTTCTGGCTCCGGTTTTGTCTCGGGGACCTGGTACCACATGTTCTTCGGAGCCTCGGGATAAGATGCCGGCGGTTGAAAGAGTTGTTGATCTTCCGACATAGTATAAGACCTCTCAGCCAATGCAAAACCTTCCGGCTTGCTGTTCAGAGGAGGCGGTTCCCTACGCAGACTGAGTGAGAATGGTCCTTTCGGCGAATGAAGTTAGCACTTACCGAGCTGCATCCCATTCGGCCTTGGGCGCTTCAAAGGTTTCGACCTCGACTAGCGGGGCGGACGGTACCGTAGGTTGCTCTTGGTCCTCAACGACAAGCTCTGGCTCAAGATGTGCGTGATGGACCTCATTCGCAGCCGAAGATTCTGACGGAGGGGGTGGAGCGCTGGTGGCCTGGTGAGTAGGTTGTTCGCTCTGTATTGTGAACGCTGGTTGGTTGGAATGCGGCAGCACATAGGTGGATATATGTTCTTCTCCTCGAACATACTGTGGGACAGCACTTCTGACCGGGGCTGCTTCACTCTGAATCGGATGACGTTCCTCTGGTACTGCTTGCGCGTGATCCACGTGCGACCCCTCCAGCCCATGAGGAGTAGTGCTCTGGTCATAGAAGACTTCCTCGTGAGGAGCCTGTTCGACCTGGGCGTGGCTATGACTACGTACTGTATGTGGTGGTAGTGGTGACGATTCAGATTTGAATGAAGTTTCATAATGCGTTCCTAACGCTTGCTCAGAAGAGCTAGCCACGTGTTGGTCATGCTGTATTTCTAAGACTTGCCCATAGGAACTAGCCTCTCCAGGGAGATGTGAAATCTGCAAGCGAGACGGTTGTGGTAAAGCCTCTTGCGGGTAGGTAGTTATGTCACTCTCTACCGTGGCAAACTTACTCGGCAGGGAGTGGACGGGCACCTGAAACGTAGTGAGCAATAAGGCACCTGAGGGGAGTGCATAATACTAGAGAAGGTCAAAACCTACCGTTACAACAGGGCGATAATGCCTATCGTAAATGGCCCACCACCTCCCCAGCAACTGATTATATGGTGACTCCACAGGCAACACTTGTCTAGGCAAGTTCCAGGGCTTCTGAGCTCCAATGAAGTGAATCAGGCTAATGGTGCTCTGGAAATGCTTATAGGCAGGGATGTACTGGTAGTTGGCGCTGGGAGTGCAGTTATACGTGAAGCTCAGCCTATGCCAATTGCGAAAATGCATGTTCAGCAGCCCTTGGTCCGCGCCGTCAAAGCTAATGCCCCTCTCAGCGAGCGCCTTAAGCGCATAGTAATCCTGCAAGTTGGGCCGAAGGACCATGACACCGCTATTGAAAATATCTGGCCAGCCAATATCAGGTGCGGCCGCAAAATCCTCCTCCAATGTTAAGAGTTCATCCGGAGCCCTTACAGCCACGATATCACAGTCAATGTATACAATTTTTTTGAATTGCGTTTGTCGCCAGAGTTCGATCTTGGTGAATGTTGAGATCAGATCCGGACGATCCATCAGCCATAGATTCGCCGGAGTATTATTCGTTGCCGTTTGTACGGGGATGACCTCGTCGTATACCGTCTAAGAAGGCCTGGTCAGCGGCATGGCTATGATGGGATACACTTGACTGTTCGACCACAGGCGCACGTCTGAAGTAATCAAGTAAAGTAGTAGGGCCATACCTGGAGCTCCTTGATACTGGCATACTGCAAGGTGTCAGGTGTGTAGAGAGCAACGAGCTTGGCCTTTGTGCCATTGTCCCGCAATGAATGGGCGAGAACCACAGCACCTAGAGGGACAAGCTTAGTAAAGATCGATGTGACGGGCTTCAACAGATCCATTGTCTACCAGGCAAATAATGATCGCTCAATAGGAGCTAAAATTGGGTTAACAGTGCTCTCGACGTCGTAGAGCGTCCATGGAAAGCGATCCAATACATACCGTGCAATAAACCGAGCTTCCTTCAGGTACCATCTCGTCGGTACCTGAATCCCGCGAGAACTCCGTAGAGATCGAGAAGGGAGATCAGGAAGGGAGAAACAGGATGAGCCGTCAAGCAAAGATGACAAAAGGAGGAAATAGACAGAAATGCCAGAATAAAGGAGGAAAAGTGAAAGACAAAACGGTGGACAGGTAATAGTGCTCAAGACGGGATCTCCTCTCGTCCCCTCTTGGGCAAGGGTAACGTCAAAGCAAACCAACCAGCCCCGCCCGCCAGCATAAGCAGCGACACGAGTAAGTGGATCAGAGCGACAGCTTCCACAAGAGCTGCATCGCGTCCAAAGAGGTTATAGACACGCCATTTGAACGGCCATTCAGCGCGAAAATAGAGAAGACTGGGCAGTTGAGAGAAACAGTGGCAGCGGAAGAAGAGGTACCCTGATTCCTGAAGTATCTATCTAATCTTTAAAGGTAAGCTGCTCCAAGATTCTGGGCGGATAAGTGGATAAAACATGGTCACGGATACTAAGAAACAAAAAACAAGAACCATTCCATTAATTAACAATTTCTCCGGAACAATGACGATTTGGATGATCCGGTGTCCAGTGATCCTAGTACTATCCTTGATCCTTCAAGGTATCTAAGGTACTGACCGGTAAATGTCTCCTTCGCACTCTAACGAAGGAGCTACTCCAAGACAGCTCTGCCCAGATTGGGCTGACCTGGACCGTTGCCGGCTTGCTTAAGTGGGGTCAACAACAGGTAACTTCTTATCAAGGTAGCTTCAGCCTTTCTAGTATCATCAACCCCTGCCTTTAGGCCGTTGCCCCCGTGCCACCATCAGCGCTTTGATCCCCAAAGAGATTCATACTAATTGTTGAGGTTGGTAAAGGGGTTGTTATTCTCAACCAGCTGGTGAAACAAATGAAACGGACTCAAGAAGTCAATTGATACGACCCTTGCCTTCATCTTTTGAGAGGGGAAAGTTCCGCCACCACCGATAGTGCTACAGGCGAGTGGAGAATTTCAACCTCAGTTACTCCGCACACAGTGCGCATCGACATAAAGACAGAATGCAATCGATGGTGGGTAATGATTGGTGGATGAAATATTGATGTGTAGTCTTACATTTGATTGTCTCCCTTTTTAGGTGACCACTTCGCAGATGTGTCAACTCTTGACATCGTCCATACAAACTCAACCAGCAAGTCTGCGATAGGACAATGCAAAAGACGATAAAAATACCAACCGGAAGGATAGAAGCCCACACCCGTCTCAACGCACATTCTTACTTGCGAACAGTCACCACCGCTTCAGGGTAACAAGCCTGAACAACAGCACCAATGTCCTCTCGTTCTCCCTTCACAGCCCATTCCACGGTCTTCTCAATAGCTACACGGCTCTGGCGCTCCAAAGGCGTGAAGTGACGAGAGCGTGGAAGCATGACGACCTCGCTATTGTAAACAAGGTAGTCTGAGATGCCATCAAGGCAAATCTGAGGGTCGAGAGCAACATCTTTCTTACCCCAGAGGATCGTGGAGCTTGCTTTCAACGCTCCTGTAGGTCCCTCATCGAACAAACCAGCTCCACTACCAATGCGCCGCAGCTCATTCCCTCCCGCAATGCTATGCAAGTCGGCGATGGTTTGGACCGATTTGCACCAGCGACCCGATGCCGCCCCATCTCGGTAGTAGCCAACCATGTGCTGAAAGTTAGAGAGCGCACGTTCCTCTTTCACCGAAGCTGGATACTCGTCGCATTGGGCAGTCCGTGTCTTGCATTCCTCGGTCGACGGGCCCATAGTGCTCGCCATACATTCTGCGGCATCGCGAGCGGTGAAGTCGACATCACCATGGGAGGTCTGGTGAACTGCCTTTAGGAAGGAAAAGTTTCCCCCGCTGCCGAAGTACTTAACAAAGCCCATTGGCAATTGCATCACAAAGATATAGCCCGAGCGCTTCAATTGCCGGAACACAGGCCACAGGGACCTGATGGCTTTGATGAGAGTCGAGCGCGACCGGATTGGTGAGCGGATTGAAGTCTTGAACATTTTCGACGAGGAGGATAGAAGACGCCGAATGTTCGCTGCAGCCAGACCGGGCTGGAAATGAGAAGTCGGTTAGCGAAGCTCAAATACCCTTGCACTAACCAACATCCGTTGTGCGTTGCCATACGTACCACCGGCCCATTGGTGACGATAAACCGGTCAGCCAACTGGGGAGCTTCAGCTGCAAGCCGCGTGGAGATAACACAACCCCAGTCATGCCCTACGATAATCGTCCGTCGCTGGTTGTTTCCAGTCTCCGTATCTATCCCGTACTTGGCTCTAATTGCCATGATAAACTCCGTCAAGCTCTCCAGGACGTTTGTCGCCGAATATTTGTCCAGAGTATCGCTTCCTCCGTAGCCGGGTAAGTCGACGACGACCAGTGTGGCCGCAGATTGAAGAGAACTGGAGCTCGCGATGTATCGCCACACGGCCCAACTATCAGGAAAGCCATGGATGAAGATCGCTAGTGGTTTCTGGGAGGCCGTCGAGTTCTCAGGGGAATCATTGCAAAGGTAGTGGAATTTGAATCCGTTTCGCAGGGTGAGGATGTGATGAGAAAGACCAAAGCATTCCTTCGAGAGATTCCAGAAGCGGTCGCGGGCTATTCCATTGCAACAGAAATTGGGTCAGTTCTACCGCGATCAAAATGCCTGCAATGTAAGCCTACTCACCTAACTGCAACTCCAACTTCTCCTTCTCAGTGGGACGTTTGAAGAAAAGTCCGTTTTTCACAGCTTGAAGTCCGTAGAGAATCAGAGTTACAAGTCCATAAGCAAAAACCACAGCAGATTTGAAGCTATTAGCAAGACGGCCAGCCATGTTGCTAGCAGTTTGGTAGATGACCTGCTCTCCCCTCAAAGAATGACGTTAACAGTAAGAAGTTGTGACTTCAGAAGGAACGTAACAAGTCAGTGACTTTGCTTAAAGGGAAAATTCTAATGGTAAGCTTCAGTGCAATAACACAATGAAATAGAGGGGGAAAAGGGAAAAAGAGACGGAATGCGCTGGCTTGGGGCAAAAAAATAAGCTTAAGCAGTAGATGGAGCTGAGGGGAAGCTCCCTAGCACTAGAAATGATGCGTCATAACGCATGTGATTATGCTGCCTGATGCACAAGGCAACACAACTCACTTCCAACTGAGCTTACAGCTCGATACCACCACAGTAATTATAGGATGCCTTTTTTGAGAAGAGCGAATATTGAGGAGCTACTGATGTCGAACAAATGTTCGTCTGAAATGCCGAATTTGTTCACAAGATCAAAACGCAGGAACATCTCCAACCAAAGCAATGTAGGCGAAGGAGAAGCCTTGAATCTCCTGGAAAAAGAGGTACATTGGTAGATACAGTTGCTACAAAGTCTGCTGCAAAGCTGCGTATACGAGACGGGGACCTGTTGCAGCAACAATCCTGCCAAGTCTAGATGCCTCCATTATAGAGGAATATCAAGCTGGGCGAAAGAAACATAAAGTACCATACTAACGCCAACAGCCCCATAAAATGCAATCAGGTATGTGAGATATCACTCCGCAAATGGATATTGGTACAGAGCAAGTACAAGATTCAGGAAGCAAAAACCATAACACCGGACGGAAATTTAGAGAAGAAGAGGAGGAGATTTATCCCAACTCCGCAGCAGATCAGAGGGAGAATCCCAGATTCTCCCGGTTTTCGTCTATTAAACGTCCGTACCTGTCAAGGCAATGTTAGCGAGTCACGAATTGCAACCGAGAGGGAAGCTTACTCTAATAACAGTCTGAAGAACCACACTTCCATGTCGACATTTCGTAACGCTTTCAGGGCCCAATCCTGGCCTTTTCGCGCAATCTTTGCCGCCGTGTTTTTGCCCTCATCTTCGGTGACAAAGTACCGCATCGTCTCAACGTACTCGTCGCCCGCCAAACTCAGAGGAACGTGGTGTACCCAGGGCTTGATCCACTCGTCGTGCCATTCACGAAAAATAGCAACTTTGCAAACTAGACTGTTGCTGTGCAGAAAGGCGTAATATCGGCCACTGAATGCGTTCCCGTCGATATCGACCAGATACTTGAAAGCCCATGCATCCTGCGGACCAACCGCATCCACGACGTCAAAGAATTCCCTCTGAGCGTTACAGTCATTGGGGTCACATTGCCCGATGAATGTGAATTTGACGTCGAACAGATCATGATAATCTGCGCGACTGACTTCCTTGGTTTGCCATTGACCGTCAGTGTTCTTAGAAAGAACTTTGACATCGTCCAGGCTATTGATGTTGCCGACAAAAATTTGACGGTGCTGCCGCCGCCAGCCACCAGCTCGAGAGAAACCTCCGGTTGTGGAACCCCTCCAGAACATCTTTTCTTGCTTCTCATTCCAAGGGTAATCGTTTTTTTCCTCGTAGGGAACCTTGTGAGCCCAGTACCAGGGACTTGGGTAGAGGATATCTTGAAAGCTGGAGATTTTGCTCTGCGAGAATATCGGGAATAGATCGTGAACCACGTCAAAAGCATTTGGGCGATCAAAAAAGCCGTAAGTTTTCCTCAGTGACGGAGTATTGCAGATATCGGAAAAGGCAGTGGCATTGTGGATAAAACCCGGGTTTCCACGTTTGTAGGCTCCGACATTATCTGGCGCATCCTCGTCCAGGGATCGGGCGGGGCTGTCAACCGGGCAGGAAGCTCGAGAGTCGGTCCATGTGGACTGATGCGCATACCGATTGAAACGGGTCGTGCGCACTTCATCGATCCGATCACCCTTGTTCAAATCTTTGGGCCGAGGCGACCACGCGTTTGTCGGCGATTGACTCTGGAAGGATTTCGGAAGCACGCTGTCCTTCGCAATACTGACCATCCTATGCAGATCATCGCTCGGAATGACGACTCGAGGCTCATCGTGTGTATTGAAAACGAGGTCCATATCTGGTAGGAACTCCACAAAATCACTCATCATCCCAACAGTAGCATCGCGCTGCCATTTGTATCCATCGCCACCTCCTTCGACCAGAGTGACCTTTCCCTTTCTGATGAGCACTCCAATCACAGCGTTGTCATATCCAAGCGCCTCGCGCGCACGTTCACGAATCACCTTTGGCTCGATCGCCCAAAAAGGCAGCAAGGAGTGGTAGATCGTGTCGTATTCATCAATCAATTGGACGCCCCTCGACTGAGCGAACTGAAACCACTTATCAAAATGCGGCGGGGGGTGCATATGATATCGACGGCGGTACTCATTGACAGCGTCGGTCAAAGTCTTGGACTGCCGCGATTGCAGCTGTTCGAATTCCTGCTCTGCATTTTCGACTAAAATGGCGACTGGGTGTCGATCCGTGGGGAAGAGGGTTGTCTCGGGACTTTCTGGTTCCTGTTTCTGCTGCTGTGCATTGCTAGAAACATGTACAGAAGGAGGTTGTGGAGGAGCTGGAGGAGACTGATTTAGAGGTAAGTCGAAATCATGGTGACTTCTTCTAAGGAACACAACCGAGAAGCCTGCGAGGACGACGACACCCAAAAAGAACACGAGTCGTTGAAGTCGCATACTGCCAGCGAGGGGCGCTATCTTAGCTATTTATGCAAAAGAGTGCCGAGGGGGCATTGAGACGATTCCGATGGTCACAGGAATGTTTGTTTGTTCATGTTCATGTAAGGGTTTTGCGACGGTGAAAGGAGAGGCAGTAAAAGGATAAGGACGAGGACGGTGAGGATCGCGAGTGGTAAGCGGCAGATGGCAAGGAATATGGAATCTACCTCAGTTAGACGTTTTCGGTTGTTTGATGGGAATTTCATGGGAATACCACTCTAGTGGGTCCAAAACTCTCTTGAAAACACCCCAAATTTCCGTATCCAATTAAAGCTAGATACGTCTGTCGTCCGACCACAAGACACGCTAATTGCACCAGCGCACCCACCACTAGGTAAGAACTTTTAAGTTCTGCAAGCCTCTTAGAGACGGAGAGCGGGCTGAGCGGCAGTCCAGCCCAGCCCACTCAAGCGTCGACCAGAGTTTGATGTGCCAAGGATCGATGGCGCGGGTACTCAAACTTGGAAGGCTGGCTCAGCCGCTCAGGGGAATGCACTATTAAGATCCTACAGGATTCGGTTCTGCAGTGGCCGTTGCTACTTTCCATGATCCATTTCTCATGCTTGAGAATGATCTGAATTAGGGGACTCTGCAAGTGATTCCAGAATGAGTATCTCAGGAACCACAATTTATTGTTGATAGCGGGAACATTTGCGTACTATACCCTTTAGGTGCCTTAAGATGCCTTAGCTTTACAGCAGTACATAGGTACCACGGAAGGTTGCAGTGGTCCTCGTGATTGGATCATTTTTATTGCAATAATAGTGCCGATTCTGCAAATGTTAGAATAGTGACATTGGGATGTGGCAGTGAAAGTGCCAATTATTTACAATATTTCAACTTCAGCCTTTCAGCCGCGGTTCTTTCTGTCAAAAGGAAGGTACCAATCAGGGTAGAAACCGACTCGAGATAGTGACCTAGTGCTGCTTGTCTCGCGAAAACATCCGACAGCAAGCAATGTTAAGTGCAAAAGCCCCCAGTGTCTCGAGGACAAATGTTTGCGTCTGAGCAACATGGCAATACGCTGCAAGACACAATGCTGCGACCAGCAGCACATGCACTATATAAAACACCTGTCGTCTCGTATGTATCGATCCTGTTTTCATGGCCCGCAGTCCGCCGGTCGATCCTAGGGGCCGTGCAAGGAGAAGGATGAAGATCGTGGTGACAATTCCGCACAATCCCCACTGGACATCCAAATCGCGTATACGTTTGGCCAGCAAAGAGCTGAAATCCGGGTGAGACGATTGCAAGAAAAATGACAAGTACAGAGTGGCATGCGCGATCAATAAAGGCGAGAGTACTACTCGACCAAAGAGACGGTGGAAAGGCGTCAGGGCAGACTGTGGGACGGTTGTCAAGATCGACACAATGGATGGTGATGTCGGTCTAGATGCGGATATATACCAGACCGGGGACATCAGTACCTGGAAGGGCAGCTGCGAGATGGCAACATGGCCCAGCGCTTTGGTTAGGTGGAGATAATCTGGCAGAAAAGCTGTCATTTAGCTTTCGTCTATCGTGAATCAAGCAATAGAGTATCCAAGTATCGGCTCTGTCAAAGAGCTGTTGGATATTGTTGTTCCTGCACAAGGGACAGCCAGACGATACGCCAAGAAAAGAAAGTCCATACCCTCACCACTCCTCCACATGGAGAGTCCCAAAAGCCAACCAAGCCAGATCAAACAGACAACATATTGTGATCGAGTCTCCGAACAGCCGCGAAAAGGGGCGGATTCCCACCATTTTCTGTGTGCTCGCTGAGGGTCACCTGCATACTCCGCGTGCGAAAAAGAGCTCTTATAGCATCTGAATGCGACCAAGGCAATGAGAACAGAAAGTTGAGCGTAGTATCCCCGAAGATCAAGAAGCTCGCGGCGATGCTGCTGTTCGGCTGGAGAAACAAGTGCGAAGTGCCAGGGCCACGACAGCGACATACCGGCTGTATGATTGTTGGACAGTTACGAGTAGGATCCCGACAAGAGTGCGGCGAAGGCACGGGAATATCAGCACAAATCATACACGCCAGTAGGTCAAGTCTGACAGGCAGCTTGATAGACCTGGGGGATAAGCGTAGTGAATGGGAAAAAAAAAACCGTCAGCGATAGGACTCGAACCTATGCGGCCGAAGCCAAGTGATTTCTAATCACTCCCCTTAACCACTCGGGCACACTGACTGGAGTTGAGAAAAATCCAATTTTTTCTGCTTTATGAGATTCTACGAGACTTCCCACCACAATGGACAACCCCTGAGCTTACACACCACTGCTATGCAGAAGACAGATAGCTGGGCTTCAGATGGGGCAAAGCTAATTAAGATACTACCGACAGACACTATCTGTATAGTATACTGAACCCGAGTGCAGGTGTGAGGTCAATGGTAGTAATATGCTGGAAGATAACGGTTACACAGCGTCAGAAGAGTGGAACTTGACTATGGTTCTCATCAGTATGCTAGTTAAGGGCGAGGAAATTACAAAGGTGATAAGCCAAGGTGCGGTAATGCCAATTGTTTTTAATGCCTCCAATGGATACTTCAGAAGTAGGTGAGGTCTAATGTTGAATGTCCCTAAGTACAAACTCTGTCATGCATAGTATCATCTGTACCTAGTAAACGAATCTGAGTCCTCCTACGATTTGTGACTTGTGACAAGGATGCCATTAGTAATCACGGTAAGCCCCATTTTCCTTGATGCTATTTTAAATTAGATCTCTAATAAAATAGTCAGTGTGCCCGAGTGGTTAAGGGGAGTGATTAGAAATCACTTGGCTTCGGCCGCATAGGTTCGAGTCCTATCGCTGACGTTTCTTTTTTGGTTCATTTCCTCTCATTTTTTGCCCCTCAACTTCCAAACCAATGCCAATAAATCGTTTCTGCCCAAGTCTCAGATACATTATCGCTGGTTTCGCATGATGGAACAAGGTCTATTTCATGAACGCCATGGATTATTTCATTCAGTGAGTCAGTTGGCCTGACCATTTCTCTAAGTGGACAAGATTGACAAGGTTTCCAACCCCCCACAGAAGCGCAAGTCCTATATTTACTCCCGCTACCCCTATTGAAAGGCTCCCTTAGGACGTGGGTATGAAGTGGTGCATGCAACGAAGTAGCATAATCAAACAACTAAGCCTAGGGTGAAGTCTGCATGGCCTCCTCGTGGCCGCCCGCGGCAGTCGTAGCAAAATACCGGACATCGACATCCTCATCCTGCTGCAACGTCTCTAGACTGGGGAGGATTCTCTGCTGGATAAGCTCCTGACCCCGGGGTGACGGGGTCGCTGATTGCCCAGATTTCTCGAGCTCGGATAGCGTCCCTTGGGCGGGAAGGCGACGTAGTGTGTCGATCAATACGGCGTAGGATTTGGCGACATTGAAGCGGATATTGGGAATTTCATCAGTTACCAGTCTGTCTAGAATAGGGAGGATTGAGTTTTCGATAATGTCCAGCGAGACGACGGGCGCAAGAGTCTAACATAGTCAGCGATGACCCAGCTCTCGGAAGCGCTGAGAGACACTCACAGAGATAGCAAAGCATGTGGTCATTCTGTAGAGATAGTTAGGATGTTGTCCCATAGCCATAACCTTCGGGATAATGGAGCCTTGAGCCCATTCTACTCCGAAGACTTCTGTAAGTTTTCTCAAATTCTGAGTGGCAGCCTCTCTGATAGAGAAGACAGTGTCACCGAGCCAACCCATGCACAAGTCGCTGAGCTGTTCGTCGAAAAATTTGACCCCCAGCTGACTAGCGAGAAGAGGGATGTACTCGATGATAGCAAGGCGAACTCTCCATTGTTTGTCTTCAGCTAACTGGACAATGGCAGGGAGGAGCGACTGCGAAAGGAGGTCGATGCCGATGACTGAAACGATTAGATATAACTGATGACAAAGTTGTGCCTTTGACTCTTACCTTTGTTGACTAATTCCAGCTTGGAAATGATATGCAGGCGAACATCGGGGAACTCGTCTTTGAGCATCTGAAGGAACATCGGGAGCAGATGAGCAATCGTCCTAATCGCATATCATCAGCATTCATGTCCAAGCAAACTTAGAACAGTATCACTCTGACTCTTCTTTCCCGAGGATCGGGGCCAGTCCGCTGATTTGAGTACCCAATGCCGCTCTCACATGCTGGGACGGATCCGAGACAAGATCCTCCACGCTCGTCATAATCTCATTAAGCAAGGTCTCCCGGTCAATCAAGCTGCAGAAACCTATTCGCCATCAAGTTAGCCAAGTCCGAGTTTGCATAAAAGCTTTACATACCTGGAATCTGGCCCGCAATAGCAGTCCGAACTTCAGCCTCTGTGTCCTTCAGAAGCTTAACAAATGAGGGCACCATGTCGCGAGTAACAACCTCTTCGTGCACAGCTTTAGCGATCTGTCATAAGATATCAGCACAGCCTAGACAGGATAACCAAAGCCACACCAGGGACAAAATACCTTCTCGTATCGATCGGCAACCATGTATCTCACTCTCCAGCTCTTATCCTCAAAAAGATTGCGCAGGGAGGTCAACAGGACACCATGGCTGGGTTGTTGCTCCTTGGGGGTTTCCTCGGCGATAGAGATGAGAATGTCCACAGTCAACAAGCGCACGCTGTCTTGATCGTCACTGGCCAAGTATTGGAACAAGGGTATTATTTCTTCAATGATCACTTGTGTCTGCATTTCCTTGACAAACTTGGCAAGATTATTCGCCGCCTGTCGTCGCACCATCGGCGTTTCGTCATGTACAAGGCCTCCGAAATATTGGCGGAGACTTTGCTGCAGTGGCGGCTGTGATTTTCTGTAGGGAACACAATAAAGACCCGTGGCTGAGACTTTCGATGTGAACCAGTCGGCTTTCGAGAGGCGAATAACCATGGGGATGAAGTATTCTTCGATCTGCTTCTCGGATAATTCCTCCCCGATCTTGTTGAGCGACTCGACGGCCTAGCTTTCTGTCAGCACAAGAAACGACAGACCCAACCCGCTAGTTTTTACCTTCTCCCGCACCAATGGCTCTTCAATGGCTGCCAAGTTCTCCAGAGGAGAAAGGAGTACATGGCCAAATTCCGGACCGCCAACATATTCCACGAAAGTGCCTAGCTCATCGCTCAGAGCGGTTAGGACTTCGTCTTCGTCCTCAACAGAGTCTGCGGTAACCGTAGATTAGATCTAAAGTCTTGTCATGCACAAACTTTGGTCGAACTAACCATCGAGGAAAGGAATAAGTTCGTCCCGGGTTCTCTCCGGTCCTAAGGCCAATGCAATCGTAGAAAGACGGCGTATAGCGTTGATGCGAAGAGTGACCTCATCATGCTAAACAAGACGGCGCACGCGACTATCAGTATGAGTCGAAAGAGACGACGTGGGTGAAAAAGCAACTGTACCTTCAGTTCATCAATGAGAACGGCAATGGGGTAGAGCTCATCATTTTCTCCCTGACCCTCCATCGCGGGAACTTCTGTATGGTTTTCAATGTACTATTGAAAGAGTGAAAAAAAAGCTAACGAGGCAGGGATGCGGCAGGTTCAAGGCCTCAGCAGGAATTGGAATTATGTTGGTGAATCAATCCGGTATGACGCGGACTGAACAGGGGCTCCGGGAGTTATTTTGTGGTCGACACAGAAAAGCTGTCGTGAACAGGATGGAATGATCAAGCACCTGCGCTTAGATTGATATTAGTCGCTGTTGATAGCAGAGTTCTAGTGGTATAGGAAGGGATAATGGTTAGAACCCCCGGAGCGAGGTTTCGTGGGGTTTGGGCCGCCGCAGGACACTTGACCGAGTAGCAGAATTACCTGGACAATTGAGATTGAATTCAGCAAAACAGCAATTCGTTGCCAAACAGTAATGAAAGAATTAAAATTCCTAACTTGAGAAAGGAGAATAGCCTCGAATGAGTCTGTAGAGGCTGGTATCAGGATGGCTACTATTCTTATTAAGGCGAGCTTCGACGGTCGCTGGTGCTCACCTGAACCTGAGGCACTAGTACTACGGAGTACTAGCTGCTCCTGTGGCTGGTGGGGGTAAAAATAACCAAGGCGAGCCTGAGGGCCTGAGGAATCAGGAGGGGTGAAATAGTGGCGGTGCAGTCAATCTGTGGCTTATCGGCGGAGGGTCAAGCCCCAACAGAGACAAAAGTGCCACGGACTTCTATGACTGCGATTATCTGCCCGACTCTGGAGAACAGACAGAGCATCGGCGGAGTTACCAACGCTGTCAATCTGCGTTGAATAACCCGGACACTCATTCTCATCTCCACGCCAGTGTGTTGGTAGGATTCAATCGTTGTCTGATCGCGGCGTACCTTTTATACAGTTGCTAAGAACAAGCCCCTCATCATGCCCACCATCTCGGTCAATAAGGCCGCGCTCTTTAAAGAGCTTGGTCGGGAGTATGTTTTCTCTTGTGTCAATGTCCTCAACCATTTTGTGACTAATCATACCATCAAGATATACGACGGAGGAATTCGATGAGCTGTGCTTCGAATTCGGTACGTTTTGACTCATTGATCCCTCACCTTTTTTAGGCGGGGTTTCTCGGGGTTTCTCGCTGACGACTTTTCCTGTAGGCATTGAGCTCGATGAAGATGTAATGCGCCCTTGGACGCCCTGAGAAACACAATTGAACATTGCTAAGAAAAACAGACCACAAATTCGGACAGACCCATCGTCGATGGCAAGCAGGAGCCGCCCCAGCTGAAGATCGAAATTCCCGCCAACCGGTACGCATACTTTTCGGCAAACGTTGAACACTCCAATCGTATATACTGAGTCTTCTCTACAGTTACGATCTGCTATGTTTCGAGGGTATCCAGCTCATGCTCAACATCTTCCTGGGCCGGAAGCCTCTCCCCAATTACCGATTGGTTGAGCCCGCCAACGGACAGCTGGAGAAAATCATTGTCAGGGAAGATGTAAGTGGACGTGGTCGGGAATTCAGTGTCGGGTCAATATGGACTAAATGAATCTTCAACTAGACCATGAAAGTAAGGCCGTTGGTTTCCGGGGCAATTCTTCGCAACATCAAATTCGACAAAGCCCGCTATGAATCCTTCATTGCTCTGCAAGACAAACTCCACCAGAACCTTGCCAGACAGAGAACTCTTGTGTCGATCGGTACCCATGACCTGGACACTATCCAGGGCCCCTTCACCTACGAGGCACTGCCACCAAAGGACATCAAGTTTGTGCCTTTGAACCAGACGAAAGAACTGAACGGCGAGGAATTAATGTCCTTTTACGAGGTATGGCACTAACCGGCCATGGGTCGATCATATTGTTACTTACTCCTATAAACAGAAAGATAAGCATCTGGGCAAATATCTCCACATCATCCGCGACTCCCCCGTTTATCCCGTCATCTACGACTCCAAGAGGACTGTCTGTTCCCTGCCGCCAATCATCAACGGTGACCATTCAAAGATTACTTTAGATACCAAGAATGTCTTGATCGAGGTTACGGCTCTTGACAAGACGAAGCTCGACATCGTCACCAAGATCATGGTCACGATGTTCTCCCAATATACCTCCGAGCCCTTCACGTATGTACGGCCTGCTTCGTCTTGTACGCCTGATACTAACTCATTATTGCGAAGTGTTGAACCTGTTCAGATTGTCTCTGAACACAATAACGAGACCAGAGTCGAGCCTGATATTGCACTTCGTACCGCTCAGGCCGAGGTGTCGTACATCAACCAGTGCTGTGGACTGGAGCTTTCTCCCGAGGAAATTTGCAAGCTCTTGACCAAGATGTCCTACCAAGCAAGGCCGTCTGCATCTTCTCCTGATCTCATTGACGTGGATGTTCCCCCCGCCCGCGCGGACGTGCTCCACCAGGCAGATATAATGGAGGATGTTGCCATTGCGTACGGTTTCAACTCGCTCCCGCGGTCCTTCCCCAGCAAGTCGGGTACGATTGCTCAGCCTCTACCCATCAATAAGCTCTCCGATATTGTCAGAATGGAAGCTGCAATGGCCGGGTGGACAGAGGTCTTGCCCCTCATCTTATGTTCTCACGACGAGAACTTCGCCTGGCTCAACCGCAAAGACGACGGCAACACCGCCGTCAAACTGGCAAATCCTAAGACCGTAGAGTTCCAAGTTGTCCGCACAAGCCTGCTGCCTGGCCTCCTCAAGACCATTCGTGAGAACAAGCATCACGCAGTACCCATCAAGGTCTTCGAGTGCAGCGATGTCGCCTTCAAAGATCTGGCTTTGGAACGTAAAAGCCGTAACGAGAGACACTTCGCTGCAGCTTGGTACGGCAAGACGAGCGGTTTTGAAGTTGTGCACGGCTTGCTTGACCGCCTCATGGCCATGCTCAAGAGCGCCTTCATCACAGGTGAGGAGGGTCTCGAGAACCCAGCCATCGGCGACTCACATTACTGGATTGAAGAGCTCGACGGTAAGTCTCATATGCTTTTTCGTTACGTATGTATCGGGTACTAACTCGGTCTTAGAACCCACTTACTTCCCGGGCCATGCGGCATCCATCCACCTTCGTTTTGCTGGCAAGGACCACGTCATCGGCGCCTTCGGTATCTTACACCCTACAGTATTGGAGAAGTACGAGCTAAAATACCCCGTGAGCACGCTGGAGATCAACATTGAGACTTTCTTGTAAGCGATTGTCAAGGCAGATGGGGGAGTGATCTTAGCAAAAAGTATAGATAAACGCCCTGAAAATAATCCTTGGCACAGAACAATTACAGCACTAGAGTTACGACGTACCTTGAACATGACAGAAAAGGAGTACTTAAATTATCTGATCTGCTAGAGTGGAGATCATACACATTCTGGGCAAGGTCCAGAACGAATGCTCCGGCTTTACGGCGTACGTATATTTTCCTAGATGGTAGGTGGAAATTTACAAGGGAATGTTGCTATTGCATCAGTGTTATACGACAGCTACGCACCCACCCAGGATACGATTTAGGGAAGTCGAAGTGAAAGACCATCTGCTTAGCGAGCCGACATAGCCCATCCCGCAGTACTCGTACAAGTAGAGTCGCAACGTGAACGACTTTCCCGTTCCGCAATCTCATTTCATTTCAAGCATCACTTTTGGTATCCTACCTAGGTCTTTCACTAGGGATCTAGGAGAGAGATGTAAGATTCTCCGGCAGTTGCGAACAATATTGTCGGAAAGGGAGACAATTGAAGTTCATGTAGTGTTCTTTATTGCGTGAGGTTCGAAGTAGGTAGGTAGGTAGGACGACAGGAACGAAGAAAAGAGCAGGGCCTATTTTAGAGAAAAGAAACCAGATTACTCCTGGGCATAAGCCTCCGCACCGGCACCCTCCTGGCCTTCAGCGGCCTGCTGCTCAGCAAGTCGCTGCTGCTCGGCGAGCTGCTGAGCGGCGAGAGCCTTGGCACCGTAGTCCTGGCTCATGGGCTGCAGGACGGGCTGCTCCTCCTTGGGCTCGATGATGGTGACGGAGTCAGGGAGGGTCTTCTGAGGACCGGCCTTGCCCTCGGGGTCGGAGCCGCGCATGATCTTGACCTTGATACCAAGAACACCCTGGCGGAGAAGGACGTGACGGGTGGCGCTGTCAATGAACTCCTTGGCGGGCTGACCGGAGTGGATCATGAAACCGTCCTGTACAGAGAGGATAGAGTCAGTCACACGGTTCCTGTATCGTTGCTTGCATCTCCTGTATCCCGAAACCCCTCATTCACCTCCTTCACAGTTCCTCTTTTCCTTAAACAAATTCCCCAAAAGCACTATTGACGTACCGTGAACTTCATGGACTTGGCACGGGCAGCACGCAGCTTTCCGGAAACGACAACCTCACAACCCTTGGCACCGCTCTCCATGATGAATCTCAGGACACCGTAGCAGGCTCTGCGGACGGCCAGACCGTTGAGGAGCTTGTAGCGGAGGGACTCGCACTGAGCGACGGCGGACAGACCGCGGTTCTGGACCTTGGCGGCATAGAGGGAGACGGAGTTCTCGGGGAACTTGAAGCGCTTCTGGATGAGGGAGGTGAGCTCACGGATGCGGCGACCCTGCTCACCGAGAACCTCCTGCGTGTGGGTGGCACGGATGACTGCGGAAAAAAAAGAGCATCCGTTAGCATCATGACACTATTCCCCATGTGATTCCTCGCGACAAATTGTCTTCCTCCCATTGCGTCCCCAATTTCGTGGTTTCCCCAATTTTTCTGGCCTCCTTCAAACCCCCAATAACTTAACGGAAAGAATACATATGATCGGGCGAACGTACTGATGTCGGTGACGGTGGGAGTGACACGGACTTCAACACCAGAGTAGCCCTCCTCAGCCAGCTCGCGCTGGAAGAACTCGTTCAACTCGGCATAGAAGACACCGTCGGCGACGAACTTGCGGCGCTTCGAAATAGCTCCCTGGACAGCGGCCATGATTGCGTTTCTGCTGGTTGGTTTCTAGGTTGTCGAAGAAACGGCCGTAGCGGTGCACCAAAGTTGGGAAGTCGTTCGAGGGCGAAGTGGTCGGCAGTCGTCAGACCAGATTTGAGAGATTCCGCGTTAGTGGGGATTTTCTGGGAATAGGGCTTGTCCTTCCTTTCTGGGATAGGGCTCAACCCTCGCTTGCACTCCGCCGACCCCTTTCCGTAATAGGAATAGTTCAAACAACTAGCTTTCAGAGCTTAATCTCATTCAGGCTCTCAGGCATCAATTGCCTAACTACCTACAGAGTACAGCTTCTTTCAGGTAGAATGAGGTACCTACCCGCCAGCAGCCTTCGCAATCTTCAACCCTTGCCTGCCGTAGGAATATTCGTCATGTTCTAGGCCTAGCTTAGGCCGATCCTTTGTTGTAACCGTCGCATAACATAACATACATCAAATCGTAAACTGCAATCTGCAATCTGTAATCAAGTGCTATGTGCTTTATCATATTTCATTGTCTGCTTCGTTCCTATTGCATTTCAAGCTCCATCTGACTCAGATTTTTTGGCTCCTGAGAGTTCTCCGTTCCCTTGGAGAAACTAAGATTCGAGATTCCTGAAGCCACTGCTGCCATTCCGGTCGGGGCAGCGTTGCTGATTACATTGCCAGGAGTTCCGCTTCCGACAGCATGATGAGCTGTCTCAATGCCCGTCAAAACCAGCGTTGACTCAGAGGCGGGACTACCACGACGGGCAGAGGGAGTGACGCTGGTCGAGCGGACTCCGTTCATCTCCGCATCTGTCCGACCAAATGCTTCGCTCCACCATCTGACTTCGTTGATATGCGGGAAGATCAGGCGTTCCTTGCCGCGCTTATGATCGTCTATTTGAGGATCATAATTGGGATTGAGAAATTGTTCTCTCCGGGCAAGGAAGTAATCCCACACGCTCCGAGTGCGCTCCTTTGCCTTCATCTCTACCCGCTCCTTTTCGCTATTAAAAAGGAATGTACCATATTGGCATGAGTAGAGATGGTAGAGCAGCCGCCTGAGAAACCGCTCGTTGAATTCGAATCGTGTTGGATATTGGTATAACAGTTGGTAGGTCGCATCGAGGAACTGATGAAAGACCGGACTTGTTTCCTTCACCTTGGTTATCTCCTTTTCGGAGACAACACTTCTGGGGGCGGAACCTGGCTTTCTAGGACTGTCGGAGTCACAATTTTGCATCTCCCCTTCCGAATCCGGGAGAGAGTCGCGGCTCGTATTGTCCCTGTTAAAGAACCCTTTTGCACTAAGGAAAGCATTCTCGATGGCTTTGCTTGCACCACCAGCCTCTCCAAAGCCACGACCGGAATCGCCCCCAATTCTTTCGTTTTCAATCTGAAACCACTTTTCGCTGCTCAAAGGACCCGTTCTGTGCCGGAACATGTGGCCGAAGGAAAGCCAGTCCTTCTCCACGAGTACCATAAACCCTTCCATCGTCCTAAAGTAAGGATCAAGACATATCTGACTCAGAGCGCTCAACTGGCCTGTGCGATCCCATCCATCCGAGCAGTGAATGAGCACATGCGAGTGCTGTAAGCCAATTTGACGAGCTATCAACCCAGCGCCATCCAGAATGCCAGCGATATGTTTCAGCCATCCACTTCGTGCAAGTTGATCCCTATTAGGTCCTAACGGCGTGACATCTGAGTCTTTAAGTGCATCGACAACCTTGTTGAGGGAGTCCCGCATGACGTGAATGTTGTCAATGCCGAGGTAGGCCTTCGTAGCGAACTTGTAATTGTCCATATTCTCCGATCCCAGACCAACGGCTTGCATGGCAAATGCATTGACTGTCGGCCGTGCGTCAACAATTAGATTATGCTGCTGGGCACCATAAATCTGAGGTCTTTCCTCTGGATCGCCACGGAACGACTCCAGCATTTCGTCTTCCAATTCCTCGGCGTTTGTCAAATCAGTCAGCATCTGGCTTGATGAAACGTCACCTTGTGTCGAGCTTGACGAATCATGTTCCAGATGTGGTGGAGTGAAATTAGCCAGTGGCCTGTCTGTACGGGATGTTGAGAATATTGCTGCCAATAGCTTCTCATCCTGGATGCTTCGGTTCTGCCGTACACCTACCAAAGGCTGAGAGCTTCTCGTGATCGAGCAGTTGTTGATGGGATGGCGATACGTTAGGACAGGTACTCGTGCTCTCGACCGATAGCGAGCCGCGTAGTTGAGCGTATTGTCTGAAATGGACGAGGGCACCGGTAGAAGAGCGGGGTATGTCGGCGAAAACTGAGACATCCAAAGTCAATACATCGATCATGGAGCTACTCGTGAGGGAGAGGTTTACCCCGTAGTCCGTATTTATCTCGGAAATCCGCCAGCCATTGTCGTTACCATCGCAGCCCACGCCCTGTCTAGCCCACTCTTTGCGTGCATCGTACAACTCCCAACCGTCGAATTCTCGCTCCGGCGGCGGCGGCTGATAAGTGAAAGCATAGAGTTTGTCGATCCGGCCGACTTTGCAAGTCCAGAGTTTTATGCTTTCATATACATCGCGAGCTTTACTCTCACTGGCGAAGTAGAAACAAACGAACGTGAAGTCTCGGCAGCGCAAGCGAATCGACGACGGCTGGCGGGATACGGCGGGAGTTGGGCGGCATGTACAAAATGAGATGATAGGATATGTTATCCACAGCTCCCTCGGTCGAACAGGCGTACCCTGAGCTTGCGCAGACTCGGCTCCTTGGGGTATGTGGGAGAAGATAATATGGTGAGGGGTGAGGTGTAGCGTGCCGACAATCTGTTCACCACGACGCGCCAAGGTCACATCTTCAACCTGAGAGTCGAGGGAAGGAGGAGTACAGTCAGATCCATGCGTTTTGTCTCAACTCGGATTGTATGTAGTCATGGATCAAACCTTAGCGATCCGTGTTCTCTCCATGCCTATGCTATTTCCGTGTCCGCATAATCTTCATGGTTAGGTATGACGGTCAAGCTGGTTCTATTTCAGGACGGTCAGACAGGACTGCGACGAGTCGACTAATACTCGCAGACGATGATAGCACAGCGACTCAAGGTCAAGGGCACAATAGCGATGTCATTGACGAAATTGCAGATTTTTGGAGAAGTCTCGGGGTGGGAGATCTATCCAACCGCAGAGAAGTTGAAGCCCGACTCGGTTCAGATGCGGAGCCCCTCGCTAACTACGTCAAATGCCCACCGACCGCCCAAGGCAGGTAGGTAGTTGTTTGCCCTACAGGACATTAAAGTGAGTTGAAATGATCGGACAGTCAGCAAGTTACCATATTATTGTCGAAATGACTTCCAATGCCTCCTAGTAGCTTCTCTTTGATATTCGACGGCATCTTAAGTCGTTGAATGGGTTCAAAAAGGGTTGAGCACTAATGAATCCCAGCGTCTGTGACTGATTACTTGTTTGGGCTACAGCTGGCAACTGACCACATGCACCTGAGCAACACATAGCATACTCTTTGTTTGAGTATTTTCGAGGACATACATGACTGTATCGATGCGTACAACCCTCGGTTGGTCTGGGACGAGAAAGATGCATCGACTTGATCTCCGACAAGGCAAATATATATTCCTATGATCATTCAGCCAGCGCATTTGTAGAGTTGGCGCATGTACATTGTCCAGCTTGACGCCGGAGGATTCTATGCAAACAAGGTCTCATGATTATAATACAATATAAAACATATTATACAGTAGTGATAGCTCTTAAACCGAATCCATTCACCAAGCCCTATCCAGCTCGAATGCCAGGGAGCAAGCAGCACCGTAGAACGAGTTGAACCCACGATGGAGTGGGTCCGGAGACATAGCACCCTCGGCAGGAGGACCTGTGGAGGTGTCACCCTCAGTGAGATCCATGTCGAGGAAGATCTCCGTCGTTCGGTAGGGATTAAACGGCCCGCTCTCATAGAAAGCATAGTTGAGCTGCTGGCCATTGAAATCATAGCGATGAATGCGCGTGCTCCTAAGGTCATTCACTGGCATGAACATGTATTCCGCAGTAGTGTGGTTACCCGAATTGTCTGGTTCGCTGTTGACAGTTCCCTTCAATAGATGATTGGGGAGCGGAACATGAGTGAAAGCAGGTAGAGGCGCTTCACCTTCGCTGTTCATGTACCTAGAAAATATGCCCTGCAGGCATTCCCGGAGGCTTTCCACCGTAATGTTCTCAGCTGACTCATTCTCAGAATGTCCATACAGTAGATCGCGGTACAACTTTCTGGTAAACCGAAGGTCAAGGCCATTCTCGGGAAGCAGATAGTCAACGCTGCTCTCAGCCAGCTCAGCTTTGACGCTATGGATCCCAATTTGGGCATCAGAGCCAGAGGACCGGTGTGATCCTGTCAGCGTTACCTCTAATTCGAGTCGCGGAAAGATGCTTGCATGGGCAGCGGTTGGAATCAACCGGAAGAGGTAAAACTGTTGGTCATCATCGGGCAGACGTGGCTTGAGCGTACGGAGAAACGACGTCACTCGGGGAACGTCTGTAGTGAAAGTTCGAGGAAGATTCAATTTGCCCAGCTGAGAAGCGCTGAGGGTCTGAGTCTCGAAGGAAGGCTTGCGTAAGAACAGACATTGGCCAGCGGCGGCTACCACGGTCTCACTGATACCATTGCGTTCTGAGATTGATGGCGATGATTTTCTGAGTAATTTGAGCAGCTCGTCTGACAGAAGTGATTGATGCTTATCGAAATACGGTGTGTCCAGCACCTTCGTTTCGGAGGATTGAGCAGATGACATTGCCAACCGAAACCATGCCTTTTGCCGATCGAACCACGGGACGTTTCGCTCTGGATCTACATTGTAGACACTAGCCGACTGGGTTGCGGATAAGTAAGTGCCAAAGGGTATCGCAGGAGAAGTTGTGTTGTAGATCGCCAGGTTTAGGGTTCTCCGAGCATTGTCCGCATCTGCTCTGTTCTCCGCAAGGTAGAACATCTTAGTTACGCCCTGTGATAGCTCCTGCTCGAATGCAACCCCATAGGTCTTGCTGACCCATGCAAGGAAATCAGGAGTAAAAATACGACCACTCTTAGACGTGTCATTATTTGGCGTAGGTAGATCGACATCTTCCTGTCGAATTCTGTTCGTTGCATCGTATATAATCTCGCGAATCGATTCACATGTGTGCTGAGACCCGGTTACTCTGACGAGGCCTAACGAACGGGTGACGTCAATCTTGGCGTCGTGTAAGCTGGCCAATTCTTCGAAAGAGAAATGCTCAGAGTTGAGCAGCAGCGATAACGAGTACGCGGGGAGCCGGATGTCGATTTGGCCAACTTCACCAGCAACACCTAGCTGCCAGCGGTCTCGTAGAATTCTCTCTGCAAGGAGTTGCTTCCCCTTCAGGGCTTGTGTCACGGCGACTCTATCGGCAAAGCTTCCCTGCGAAACTGGACCGGTTTCGAGAAACATGGAAGTTCCGGGTCTCCAGACAGCAGTGGGTGTGCGCTCACTTCGTGGTTCCCCATCCTTCTGGACCAAAGCCTCTTGCTTCGCTTCTTGTATATAGTCTGACAGCTGTTGAAAGGTAAAGGATGATTGGAGTCTATTCCGCAGGTCTTCCCAATCGTTGGTGGACAACTTGTCGTGCGGTCGATGAGGTTCACGAAAGCTTTGTATGCTTTCATTAATGGTAGCAGATTCGAGAACAGTATCTTTGTTTTCGATATCTTCTAGCATGAACGGAAGGGCAGATTTATCGGATGTGTCGCGCTTGATCTCGGAGTTTTGACGGCGGCGGGTCCGATGCGGTACGACAACGATCTCCCCAGGTTTTCCCAAGGAGTCGACATCGAGCGTCACCTTCTGACTCCTAGGATGTTCCTTCTGGTTTGTCCACCTGGCTCGAGGTCGACGGCGAGACGATGGCTCGTCCTCGGGGTCGGTTGCGGTGTTCTGATAGCGGACGAAAGCATCACGCTGGCGACTCGTTGATGACCGTAGAATTTCTCCACAAGGGGAGATGTATTGACAGGCCAGACGCCCTGCTGCCGGCCTTGAGAACCGCGTAAGCATATGGGAAAATGGGCGAATTGTTTCGAGCCAGCTGCTCCATGAATTCCTCGCAATCAATAGTTTCTTGTAGCTTTGCATGCAATCTTATCGGTCAAGATACGCTAGGCTGGAAGCGGAAGTTTGATCACTATGACTTGTGCCTTAGGCCACAAGAATGACTTGAGGTCGTCTTTGTTTGACGGAAGATACTTAATCCTTCTGTTTCAACAAATAATTAAAGTAAAACATGTTAATGAGAGAGAGTCCGAGTTTGAAGAAGATGAAAAGAAAGACAAGAGTATGAGCGCTACGGGATTATTCCTTTACGGAGACCTCCCAGCTCCGCAGGTCCTCTCGTACATCAAATTCGGATAGTTCATCCACTTCACTACGGCTTTTCCAGGCCTTGCCACTTGCACTGTCGTAGAGCTGCTCTTGAATGCTGCCACCTTTCCTGATGTGTCCAGAGGAGTCAGACCCTTTACTTTCGTTGCGGAATCGGCTAGATGAGCTCTTTGGCCGCCTCTCGAAACTTGGAGACAATCTGTTCCCTGATCTGGTTTGCCTTGTGTCTGTATCCCTATCAGGGCGAAGTTCGTTATGATTCTCCGCCATTTTTCGAGAGCGAGCATCAGGATCTTCGTCGTTCCCGCAAGAACCCGTGGCAAAGAGGTCCTCGATCAACTTATCCGCGGGGATGTCACCTGTGCCAGACAGCCATGAAGCAGCCAGAGTGCGGCGGTACATGTCCTGCATATCAGCAACCTCTCTACTCTGCGTGTTGATGGACGGTAGCCGGCCAAGGTCATCATGATCAGCTTGTTCTGAGGAGACTACACCCGCGATGCCTGCGAAAACCGCGGCGGACCTTAGGGGCGGACTGCTAGCAATCAGTAACAGACTGGTTATGTTTCGTGATAATAAAACATACGTGGTGAAATTCCGATCGCCATCGATTTGGCGCATCACAATCCCAACCCTGAGCGTGCTGTTGACCTTGCTATCCTGCATCAGGTACCTCCTCACGATGCCTTCCTCGTCATCGCTCTTGTCGACATACTCGGCAAGGTTGAGCCTGATCCTTCCTAAAAGATTCTTGTCGCCGTGCCTTCCAGACCCAAACTCTTGTATGATGTCTAGGACGAGTTCGCATTCATGGAGTGTTTGATTTCGATCAATCGTAAGCCTGACCTGCAGGGATTTCTCGTAGTTCCAGTACGCTCGATGATCAATGATGATCGCTTTGTCCGTATGACCATGATGCTCGGCTGTACTTGACGATGGTAGACGCCATTTAACGAACGCCATTCCAGTCACAAGTGGCACATTATTTAGGTCGATGATCTGAGCGAAGATCTCGGTTAGTAAGAACCTATGATATGCGAACCGATCAGACTTACTCTCAATATAAATTCGAATCTAGGCTAAGGTTCGAGTTCAGCATTGCCCACTCCTCCTACACAAAGCACTTACCCTCCTATTTTTCGGAACTACAGTATGTGGAATCAGCTTCAAGTTGTACCGACCATGAGGTCATCAGGCGCTGCGCAGCGCAGCGTTCAGCGAGTGAAGTGATCGCATACCAAAAGCCTGCATAGTGGGCGAGGCTTCAAAGTCAGTCGAGAGCGCCTTGCCTTTACCTTCTCATTTACCGAAACGATGAAATGTCCGATTCTGTCTTCGGATTCCCTTAACTGGAGTCTCTCATAAGAGGTACAGTTCCGCGGTCATCTCCGCACAGCAATCAGGCGGTCAGCCATCATTCAACCGGCAGAATCCCACCGCTACCGACCCGCATCGACAAATGTTCAGCAATGGAGAGGTACTCTCATCAATTCTCAACCTTCATCCAACAACTATCCAAAGCGCCTTCCCCCTTCCAATTTTTAAAATGGACCAACAGCCTCTCTCACCTCCCGCAGAGTCCGACTCAACCTTAACAACAAACCATCCCTTAAACGCACCAGTCCCGCTTGACTCCCCCCTCCGCACAACACCCATCCACCCATCCCTCCCCGATATCCGCGTCCCGAACTCGCCCCTAAAACCACACCAGTACGACCCAGTCACCTGCGCCCCCATCGATCTCGAATCTGGCTCCATCCGGTCTCACCTTAACCACCTCCGGACGGAATACCCATCCCCTAGCGCGGCGCTGAAAGCGCAGGAGCAAGTGGCCAAGGAAGCGAAGCGAAAGATCCAGGAGGCGGAGAGGAAACGCGAGGAGGTGCAAAAGGCCATGGATAAGAAGGTCAAGGAGCGGGATACGGAGATGAAGGTCCTATCGAAGTATCAGAAGGTTAGGGGCTTGGAACTTCCGTCTCGAGCCTTGGGTTGAATTGGCTTGGTATGAGATTGGTTTTTGACGTCGTAAGGACGCATTTGATGACCAAGAGTGCACGGCTTGTTGGGTACTTAGTACTTACACGGCTCCCTTGCGCGACTGTTGGAGAGAGGATACAGCCATTGAACGTCCCAGAGTGGTTCCATATTCTGGATTCTGTAGCAATTGGCAGCAGTCACCAACTATATGCGCTGCAATTGGCTTTCAAGACGCCAAACTGCCCGACAGAGCATACGGACGGGATACAACTACCAGGGCTTGAAGCGCGGGCCTCATGGGCAGAGAGAGAGCTTCTTAGCTTGCAGATGCATGGCGCCAAGTCTACGAGAGGTCGTTGTCCTCTTACTAAGATGAGGCTGCATCTCGAGTCAGATCTTCAGCAAGCTTGCATGATAGTGCTTCGTTATTGGCATGGCACAATCAGAGTCTAGTCTTGACATGAACCGTGGATTTCCTGTGGGCTATGGACGGATTATAAAGACATCAACCCCACTCGACCGGTATGGCCCGGCACATAACAGTCCTCAACATGAATATCATTAAACATGAAGCGCGTGATTACCTCTCATATGTATCAAAAAGAAAAGAAATAAATTCGTGTCCATTAATCATAGGCCCTTATGCATGGCGGCTCAAGTCTCTTACAACGTGCCCAAGACCTTCACCAAGACGGGGAGCAACTAGGTTTATGTTAGTGAGATTTGCCTCGTCGTTTTAAGGGTTACGGAACATACCTCAGATGCATCCTCGATCAAGACCTGTGTCTCATTCACGAATTTCCTGGTGAGAAGATCGTTGGCGTTGTTGAGGAGACCGCCGACTTCTGCGAGCAGGTCGGGTGTTATGACAGGGGAGACTCCATCAATCAGGTCTCTTGTCTCGTTGACGAACTTGGGCGTCAGCAGCTGGGTAGCATTGCCCAGGACGTAGCTAACGTTGGTGAATAGGGCGGGGGTCAGGGCAGGCCCCACGCTGTCGATCAGGTGTTGAGTTTCCTCGACGAACTTGGTAGTGAGCAGCTTGTTGGCGTTGTTCAGCAGGCCGCCGACTTCAGCCAGAAGCTCGGGGGTGATGACGGGAGCGACCTCGTAGATCAAGTCTTGTGTCTCGTTGACAAACTTGGGTGTGAGCAGGTTGTTGGCATTGTTCAGGAGGCCTCCGACTTGTCCAAGAAGCTCGGGCGTGATGACAGGCGAGACATCGCCGATCAGGTTCTTTGTCTCCTTGACGAAGTCGGGTGTCAGCAGATCGTTGGCGTTGCTCAGCAGGCCCTGGATCTCGTGCAAGCCGTCCGTGGACAACAAAGAGTTGGCGTTATTCAGCAAGCTGCCGATCTCCTTGAAGAGCTGAGGAGTGATGTTAGGCGCCACAGCACCAATCAGGCCCTGGGTTTCGTTGACGAAGGTTGGCGTGAGGAGATCGTTGGCGTTGGTCAACAAGGCGCCAACCTCGGCGAGCACGCCGGGTGTCAGTACAGGAGCAATACCGCCAATCAGGCTTCTGGTTTCCTTGACGAAGTCCGGAGTCAACAGGTCGTTGGCGTTGTTCAGCAGACCGCTGATCTCCTTGAATAGATCGGGCGACAGGAGAGGACCGACAGCGCTGATGAGCTGCTTGACCTCCTTGACAAAGTCTGAAGTCAGCAGAGAGTTGGCGTTGATTAGGAGAGTGCCAATCTGCTTGAACAGTTCGGGTGTCAAAACGGGAGCAACAGCTTCAATGAGGCCGCGAGTCTCCTTGACGAAATCGGCTGTCAACAAAGTGTTGGCGTTGCCAATCAGACCATTGACCTCCTTGACAAAGTCTGCAGTCAGCAGGCTGTTGCCGTTGTTCAGCAGAGATGAGATCTGCTTGAATAGTTCAGGTGTCAACAGAGGACCAACAGCCTCAATAAGAGCGCGAGTCTCCTTGACGAAATCGGGTGTCAACAACGTGTTGGCGTTACCAATCAAACCGTTGACTTCCTTGACGAAGTCAGCGGTCAGCAGGTTGTTGCCATTGTTCAGCAGGGTCGAAATCTGCTTGAACAGTTGAGGTGTGAGTAGTGGACCGACGGCGCCGATCAGTTCCTGAGTCTCATTTACGAAGCTGGGCGTGAGCAAGGCATTGGCGTTACTCAAGAGACCCAGCACTTCCTTGGTCAGCTCAGGAGTGAGGAGGTTGTATCCGGTATCGATCAAAGACTTGGTCTGGTCGGTGGTCTTGTCATCGAACAGGTATGCGAAGTGATGGAAGAAGGATTCGATATCCTTCAGCAAGGTGGGAGACAGGAGCCCCGAAATGCCTTGGAACATATTCTGCAGATCTCCGAGGATGTTTCCGGAAAACCCGTCCGACGCACCTCCAGACGATGAGCCTGAACCGGTACTAGCGGCAGCGGTTGTCGCAGCTGCATGTGTGGCGGTCTCAGAGTTAGAGGAGCTCTCCGCAGAGGCAGAAGTTGGAGTGGCCGTTGAGACACTTTGGGTTTGCTCACCAGCAGTGTTCGTTGGAACCAGGTTGGTTAGGATATTCAGCGGGTTGCCATCCTTCTGACTGGCAGCCGGGCTGGCACTGGTTGCGGGTGCTGCTGCTGCTTGGGTGTTGACGTTGGCGCTCTGCTCCTGGTTGGCAGCGTTGGCATTCTGCTGGTTGGTGCTTGCGCTTTGTTGCGCAACCGGAGTGGCCTCTGCCACGTGCGTTGTCTGCGCTACCGACTGTTCCTCTGCTACAGCCCCCTGTGTTGAAGCACCGACTGGTGAGGATACCTGCGCTGGAGTTGCGAGCGCGGTGCTGGACAGCAGAAGAGCTGAGAGGACTGTTGAGAAACGCATGCTGGGTCAATGCTCTTCACAGGGGAATGGCCAGCAATCGACGTCTGGGAGAGAGGTAGAGCCGAGATCCCCCAAGACTGCACTGGCTCCTTTTATGTCTGCAGCTGCGCGGAAAAGATCTGCTACCACTAACCACTCTCTCCACAAGGTCCAGCTACTGTTGGGCAAACAAGAAATAGACCGAGGGCTATTGTCTGATCTCCACATGTGAACTAACTCATGTTGGGGGTTTCCTCCTTCCATTGACCAGACTACTGATGTCAGCGGCAGGGGCGATTTCTGGTCGTGCAACGGAGATAGTACCTTTTTCGAGCGTACTGGGAGAGCATAGCTTGTCGATCATTGGTGTGTGTCATCTGTTTTCTTCCATCTTTTGGACCAAAGACGGTAGAACGCTGTGGAGCATGGTGCCTAGTAGCTCCTGTAGTACTACTATGTTAGTACAGCGCCGCAGCAGCATGGGGTGGTGAACCGTGAACGGTAACTGTAGCGGCGCTGAGATGGAGCCCAAGCACTGCTTAGTCGGAATGAGCCGTGCACCCCAGACCGCAATGTTAGACTAATTGGTCTTTTAGGGGCTCTTAGCCCTGCGGGGGGAGCAAATTAGAGGCACGGGAAATTGCGAGTGGCACTTTAGTCTCGTCTTAGTCTGAGATGGGATCGCTTGAGGAACGAGGAGTTGGGGTCTGGCTTTCGGGCTCCATCTACCTCGGTGATCGGCACGGACAATCGACAGTTTGAGCAAAACGAGCACTTGACAGTCATTATTATTGCCTTGCTTTGTGGTCACGGAGTAGTAGGGTGCCTGAGCGGTTGAGCCCAATTGAGTTGCAGAGGAGAATTTCGAGTAGCCACACGTTTGGACAGACGAACTGCCATAGTCCCTGGCAGCCTGGCAAGAAAAACAATACTTGCAGGAACCAGGGGGTAGTCTAACACCCAGCGGGACTGTGGGCACTAGTCTGTGTTAGTGGTAGTTCGACCATGATAGCACCATGGATAGGTGCATTCGAGCACTGGCATTATTCTTTCTCCTGAGCGAGTGAGCCAACTGAGATTTCTCACTTTCTCGTAGTCGTAGTTCTCATTTTGCGGGGACGGAACACGCCCGTGGGGAACCATGGCCGGAAAGACTCATAGTTCCCGTGGATCCTTCGAAAGTTGGTACTGGAAGTTGGAAGTCTGGAGACCCTCTGTGTTCCAACTCGAGTGTGGGGTTCATTCGGCCGATGTAGGAAGGGAAATTATGACGAAGAGAGCCGTCGAACTGCAATGTTAGGCACTACGAGGGCAAAGAGAAGACAGCTCGAGGTGTATCTCGGTAACATGTGATATGGGTGCCATGAGAAAGAACTCAAAATCCACGAGTCTTTAAGGTAAAATGCAACTCATGTCATTTCCCAACTCGAGTATCCAAACTGATGAGTGGATATTCCCACAGCGACCTGGCCTAGTGTCGTCGTGATCGACACTTTTCATGACCATCGAGCGGGGTTCTTGCTTTTCTTGTCCTCGTTCGCGTTAAAAACGGGAAGAAAAATCTTGTTTCTGCGCCTCTTTTCTCGAGTTTCGGCTGCTTTTTCCAAAATTGTCATTCATCATATGGCTCACTCGAAATTGGAGAAAAACATGGGGAAGATGAGGCCAATGACGGATACGGTCTGGAGTCTCGAGTCTCCCACTCTTCAGGTAAGGGCCCAAAAGCTGATCCTCTACTGTAGTATGTCCCAGGGGTCAGGGGTCCCAGGTACACAGTAAGACAGAGACCTCGATTAAGGACAATTTTTCTTCATGATTCATGTAATATGACGCATTTTTATCCAATATCCTATTTAATATATCACAGTTCATATCCAGGTATAGAGAGGTACACCCTCGTCAGTAACCATTCCTTCGGAAAAGCTCAACAATGCCTCTCCAATGAAAGCAAAGGGAATAAAGTGCTCGGAGGCCAGGTTATATGTCGTTTAATATATGGGATCTGCCAAAAAAAAAATCAGCGAACTCTCCATAATTAGGCTAGACTACTTGTGATTAAAGCAAGAGAAACAGAAATAGTCTCTAGGGCAAGTCCATGCCATGCAAGGTCACTTGATTCTTACTCTTACAAAAGGTTCTCCTCGCCAAAGCCCCTACATTAGCGTTCTTTCTTTTTCTCACGTCAATGGCTTACTCTGTCGAAGAACAGAATACTACTACCTTAGTACAGCAGTCCAGCATTTCGTCCTTATCTTCAGGTTTGCTTTGATTCAATATCAATTACCCCAGATTCCGAACTGCTTTCCCCATGTCAACAGAATGACCACAAATGTGGTGTGGATGGACTCATCAACTTCCAATTATCGTGACTCGAATTCAGGAACGACTTGTAAATGCTCCACTTCGAAATTTGTGCTATTCTACATTGGGCCACCACTGCGAAGTGGCAAAAGTTTCCGCACGAGCGAGGCCCGTAGTCAGCTCAGTAGATGTCTAGTTTAGATCTCCAACCGCAAACATCAAGGGTTTCCTCTCCATGGATAATTCGACTATTCTTGGTTATCTGGAGTCCAATATGAAGCCTTGGATATAACTGCAATGTTGCGATCGGAGAGCCTCTGATGAGGATCTTTGATGAGAAACGCTCGCGGACAACTGGTCTCGCGTTGTTGTTGTTGTCTCCAATGTGGACGATAATCGTCCATCTCCACTGATTATCAGATTTTGGGTCTAAACTTCGTCTGCGAACAAAAGACCCTCGCTCACAGATCAGGCTCGAGGTCAATGATCAATGATTGCGCTTAGGAGTTTATATGAGCATTCCCCTACCATCGTTTCATCTCAGCCCTTGGTCTGGTCGAGCACCAGAATGATCACGTTTGTTGGGGAAGTTCGTTATGGATAAGTACCAAATACCAGAATTGGTCGACCATGGAGCGCTCGCCCCTGCAATCCTGCTGTAATTTAACAAGTAATGCACCAAGTGACGATCTATGAAGCGACTTCGAGTCGATTAATCGAGCTCGATTCACACCCGATCAACTCTTACTTCGTGCGATCAAGCGCACCTGCCGCAAATCTCTTCACAGGCAAGCTGTTGTCTGCTTAGTTAGAGGCCCTCAAATGATTTAGCGCAGGTTCAATGCAATATTGAGCTTCTCAATGCCGGAACTGCAGTTCCAAAGAGGCTGAACTCGCCCTCATGGAGATGCTATATGGCGTGTTTTTCAAAGAACACTAGGCCTTCGAGACGTCGAGCTCCAAAATGAAGGGGTGAAATGATTTTACTTTCTCTTTGCTATTCCCTGCGGATGCTTCCATTCGAGTCAAATTATGTTAATGTCATACCGACGGTGTTGGTTTTGGAGACATCAACCCTCCGTCTCAATGATTTGAGAAATATGCTAAGTCCTAGTCCTTTGCATTCTGAGCAGCTCATTGTTGTACTGCACTCACCTCGGTCTCGCCCGGAAGACCGTCGATAACGAGCCTGTCCTGTTGAAGCAAGTTTTGAAAGTAGCTGTGGACTTATGATCATAGGCAACTGCAAGCATTTCTCGAGAATCTGTTTGATTCCCTGCTATACCAGGGCTCCTACAATTCATAAGGCTCCATTGAAAGACCTGTTCAGTAATATTGATCCATTCATGCTTGGGGTTTCCAAGGGGCTGAGAGAGATCTCAATACCACACATTGACCTCAACTACGACTTCTTTGCAAAATTGAATCAGCTTGCTTCACTGAACCTATGCAACTCCTTTTGCAGGTAGGGTGCATTTCATCGTGTTGCATGCTCTGATCACACTGCCAGCTGGAAGGCTTATCAAATCAATGAAGTGTATTGGCCTGACTTTCTAAGCGCCAGTGTTCCCATAGCACTCTTCCATCCCCCAATTCGAGATGTGCATGAACAGCCGACTGTGTCCAGAGGTCAGAGCAGTGACAAATGACTCGTCAGCTACAAGTGCCTCGTCAATATCATTGTATACTTCAACCGAGAAAGATACTAATGTGAGGATTGAGGCCACTGACCATCTCCGCGTATAATCTTTTGAGCCGCTTGATGATCTAGATGATATCCATTCTCTCTCTTATCTGATTCAATAACCCGTATCTATCAAGACCCCCTGTTGACCACAGTGTTGAAGGACCTGGAGTTGAGACCGCTTGATTGAGAATTTCGCGTCATTCGCGAGCACAGTGCAAGTCACGTTTCGACCTTGAGCTTACCCATGAGTGAAACGAAAGGAGGGCTACTACAGCCTTCCACGGCGGCAAGATAGTCGGAATGGTGTATGGCTGGATCCAAAGAGCTGCAAGTCATACCCATACCCATCCGTGGTCTAGGACAGGTCAGCAAGATGATTTGATCCTGCCGTGTACATCAGGACAGTTGTTATTGATAGGGTCATCGATCTCCAATGGTGCCAGTTTTCGTCATCCGGATGGCAGTTGTTTTCCTCCTCAAATGCGCACACGGGACATCGTCCTCTTCTCTAAACTTCGCCTCCAATGCTCACGGATGCGTCAAGATATGAGCATCAAGATAACCATCCAGACTTCAGACAGCTGCGCCAGGAGCGAGAGTTGGAGCTTTGTCAACGGCCTCATACAATCGCTCGGCTCTTTTGTAAGCTGGCAAGAAACGGCTGTACAGCTCTTTCGTGGCTCTTGATTCTTTTTGGTGCGTAAGTCACCTTTGGCGTCGCTCTGGTGATTGCGAGGTCGCACGAGGGCCTTATCGCTCGACAGACTCGTTGTTTGTTGTATCGGGCTTGTTTGCGATGGTTGGTTGGAGTTCGGAGACAAGGGAATCAAGGATCGGTGCTAGCTCCATGAATGCTCTGCAGAATGAACTGATGGTTCTTGTGATCTCGAATCTGTCGAGCTAACCCCGGGTAAATTGTAGTCTGTCGCCATCCTCGCACCATGATGAGTGCAGAGAAGCCAAATGACGTAAGTTTCAGTGACTGTCAACATTGACTGCATGTCCATTCAAATCATTACCTACCCAAGCTTAG